AGCGCCGGCTCCAGAGCGCCGCAGAAGCGGGTTGTAGACTGCTTGATTTCAGATTTTGATTCTTTTAAACAGATACAAGACAGTGCTAATGCCGTAGTTTCCGTATGTGGCCTTCTCCCCGGGATTACCGTGTGTCCCTGTTGGGTCAGAGGGTCTCAAGGAGGAGCTTGTGTGTGTCAAGGTGCCACTTCAGGGCAGCAGCATCCATGTTTACTGGTTGCAGAAAAACCCCACTCACCTGAGACAGCATTTTAACGTTTTCCGGTTAACATGCACCTGAAAATGCTTTGCAAGGTCAGTGCTGCCCCTATGCAGGCTGAGGAGACCTGCCAGCCCTGCAGGCCCTACACATGGACCCACCACTACTTACCAGCTGCATAAACAATCCTCTCTCTCTCTCTGTGTCTCTCGGTGTTGTTCGAATAAGCAGTTAAAACGCTTTCCTGAGGTCTTCTGAGGACAGAGTAAATGCTGGCTCTGTTTACTGTAAGGAAAAGTAGTACAAAGCATATGAAATACGATAGTGCTGAATAGTGCAGATGCTGTGCAGGAACTGTAATCAAGTAAAATACTGTTTCTCTGCATTGCTTTTAGTTGTGTCATGAAAGTGACTTTAAATAACAATAATTTTACAGTTTTCCCAGGAGTGGTCAGAGAGATGGGAACTGGAATAAGGTAGTTATGTTTAAAGCATGCTAGTTAGGCAACATGTCAAATCCACGTTGGATTTTCCACTTCTTGGACACAAGTGACTTACTGGGAAAAAGTAAAAATACCCATTCATTTTCTGTTAGTTTCTTCACAATGTAATAAGAGAGCACAGCTACTTGCTCCACAATAAGTGGGTAGTAAAAGATCTCTCAACTATATTTTCCAGACATGTTATTTTGGTAATTTGTTCTTTCCTATATTTTTGAAGTATTCTTATGTATTACATATATTTCTAAGATAGAAGACAGTAAGCCATACCTATAGCAACAACTGCTGTTATTTTTAGGAGCAAAGGGAATCTTCCATGGAATGCAGTTACTGTCTGTATTTTGACCTGCATAAGATTTGTCACTTCAAAGATTTTTCCATAATAGTGATCTCAGTAGTGATGCTGGAAAAAGGCAATGGGTGAAGCTTTGGGTTTTTTTAAGATAAGCTTTAATGAAAATGAAGATATGCCAATAAGCATAAAAGTGAATTGTATAACAGACAAAATGGAAGAAAAAGATTAACCTATTGATATAATGCAAATTGTTTCTCATCTCAATGTTGCTATTGTTTCTTGCCTTGACCTAGAAAAGTCTTAATAAGCCAGTAACACTTAATTGCAGATTGTTTACTCTCCTCTAATTATTATTTTGTGCATCTAGGTTGGCTATACCATGTTAAGAGATATTCTTCAAAATAGGTATCTCCAAATTCTGATTTGTAACCAGAAGCCAAATTATTTTATGAGTCATTTGAGCTTTTGAAACTCCCTAGTGAATGCAGGCCTACTGACTCACTGAGGGATGTTTTGATTGATTATACTGCACATAAGAACAGCCATGGTTGTTCAGATCAATGGTCCACTGAGCTCAGTTTCTTCTTTGTAAAAGCAGTTAGCAGCAGATGCCTAGAGATGTGCAGGAGCTGGGCAAACTTCAAATGAACACTCTCCCTGCCTCTAGTTGTTTTCAGCTCAGTGGATTTCCTGTGCCTGTTGTGTTTGACTCTTTAGTTATTCTCAGTGACTCTCTCTCCCTCAAGTACTTGAATTTGAAAAATTTCTGCATCAGCAACATCCTTTGACAAGAGTTCTGCAGGTCTAGCACTCTTTATGTGAAGTACTATTTTATTATTATTAATTTTATGACCTCATTCATACCAGCTTCACTGGCCTCTAGTTTTTGCATTAAGAGAGAGAAAACAGTCCATCCCCACCCATCTCCTCTGTGCCACTCATAATTTCATGGACCACTATCATGTCCCCTCATGTTATTTCTGCTTCCATGTTGAAAAATCTCAGGCTGCTCCACTGTTCTGCATGAAGAAGCTATTCCATATATCTGATAATTTTGTTGTCCTTCTCGGTTCAGCCATGGAGGTATAAAGTTGCAACATATTCTTCTCTGTCTTGTTCTCTACTCCTACTGCTTCTCCTCCCTTACTGTTGCCATGAAATTCCTGACTTTTGAGTTAGGTGGCATTTCAAGAGGGATTTTTTTTTTTTCAGAAGATGCATGTTGGCTATTAAAATTTAAATGAGATCTATTATATAATTCATCAGGATTAGTCAATGATGGCTTCAGTCCCATTGATTGCTGTCAATACCATTAAAACCTCAAAACTAAGCACATCTTATGAAATGTTACAAGTGGATGCTGCTTCATAAGCAAATTTATACCAGAACTGGTTGTCTAAGCATGTTATTATACTAGAGGGTTACACGAGCTACATGATATATCAAGTAATTAGTATACCATGTTAGAAAATGTTTCCTTTTTACCTGAGCAAGTGTATTTTCAACCAGCTATTTGGTTTTTGTATGTGATGCCACTACATCTGAGTAGCTGCAACCTTCCTACAGCTAAGATTAGGAAGATGAGAATAAAAAAATATCTGTGAGATTGTTCTGTCCAACCCCTTCATTTCAGATCTGAACAAACGTCTTTGTACAGATCTGTACAAAGATTATGTCCCCGCATTTGTACATTAAAAATACTCTAATCAGAAGATCTCTTCTTGGAAAGCATCTTTCAGCAAAACTTCAACTGCATCATTGTTGGTGTAAGAACACAGTTGCTATCTTTTGGGTATCTTTTAGCTTTGGAACTTAGAAACTTACTTTGGAAGACTGATGATCAAGACCAAATTATCTCTGAGGTGCTCCTTTTGATAGTTACTTCCATGAAGTTAGATGTACCAACACCTTGTCAAGAAATGTAAAAGACACACTCTTCTTCTGTGGCAATGCCCTCTTCCCCATTTCTTAAGAAAATGTTCCCTATGCAAAATAGACTAGACCTATCAAGCAATTCATAGACATGAAAAGGATAAACAATCTTTCTAGTAACTTGATAGCTGGGAATGTCAAAGTGATTAAAAAAAATTGAGAGGCAGGATGTTATAAAACTCACATTTGGACTGTTTCTGCCCTATGACATGTTAGGAAGAGTCATTGTGTTCTCCCACAGAAAACGACCTTTCTCCAGGATAGCACTATTCAAAGAAGCAGCTGTCTCTGGATGCTAGAACATGACCATGTGATGCTGCTCTGTCATGATTTTGCTGGCTTCTCCGGGGTTGTCAAATCAACTGTTTTCTGCCAGACCAGCCCTGGGAGGGAAACAGCTAGTCCACTCATGCCTGTTTCCCCGACTGCATGGTTGCAGGACCTACTTGCTTCTGGTATGCTGGTTGGAATTCCCATTATAATGAGATAAGAATTGAGTGAGGGCAGTGTCCAAATTAAGAGTAACATTAATCTTGTAATCACTAGGAATAAGGAAGAGGTGAAACTCTGGCAGTACTACCAAACAGCATCACACTGAAACTGCTTAGAAGGACTTGAAGGTGGGCTTGTGCTTCCAGATCTGTAGAATTCAATCTGTTCAGGAACTCAGAAACTAAGTGTGTTTATAGAAGAAGAGCTTTCATTTACATAGCTATAATTGGGAATGTTGTAAAGATTCATGATGTGCGGGAGAGCTGAGCGTGCACATGACCAATGTGATCAAGCAATGCCCGTTTATTACAACTAAGAGAGCCTTTTTATAATGTTCTCCTGCACACGTAACATGCAGTACAAGTCCTTAACTTAGCACAAGTCCTTAACTTAGCCCGCGCTTTAAACCTTTTTATGATTGGATAAAAAGTGCCACATCAGCCTTGCCAGGCTTCCTGCCTTAGGTAACTTCCTCTTCCATCCCAGCCCCTTCCAGGGGTTGTTTGTCTCGTTGAGTTTCTCCCCCCTCATTCAGGGTCACATCCTTATGGCATTCTTGCTTGGCTGAGGCTCTTATCAGTCTTGTTCTCACGCAGGATTGCTCACATGTCCATTCTCTCGCAGGAAGTCCTCTTGAATCCTAACATATGATGCAGTTCAATCATCCTCAAAGGAGACACTTGCTTACCATGAGCTCCAGGACAAGACTCTTGTCTTTTACAAACAAACGCAATTAAGTATTTTTCTTTATGTCAAAGACCTGCATGAGATCAGAGATATTAGTAACCTGGTAATGAAAAACTGATTTTTTAACATCTACTATTAAATGAATTAAATAACAGTGATTTAAAAAAAAAAAAAATCGTAACAATTCATATAATCTGAAGAGTTATCTGTATTTGTATAGATCTGTATTGGTACAGATCCCACGACGGCCAAGTAACTGAAGGTACGTACAATCTTAAAAATCCATGAAAGGAGAACGTCTTGCAGCGCAATGTTGCGCTCCTTTGAACTGAAGCAATGCACCTCAAACCCTGGAGAGTTTCCTCACACCGAAGTGTTTTGCACACCAGAGCCCAACTGCAGGGAGAAGTCCAGCTACAGCTTAAAGAACCTGGAGAAGACGTGAAACAAAACATTCAGTAACCATCAAATTTGCTTTCTGTTAATGTTCCTCTTCAAAATCCGCGAATCATTTCAGAGTTACAGGCCTTTAGATTTAGGACAGCGTATCTCGAAAGAGCCCACGGCACAGGCTGGGAGCCTGTACCCACTCTGTCAAGGGAAGGCCGTGGGGTGCCTGTGTTAGAAACGGGGCGGCGGGCGCTGCTGAGGGCAAGAGTCTCTGAACCGCCCCCGAGTAGGGCGCCTGGAGCCGAGCTAGGCCGCCGCAGGGATGATTTGACCGTGACACCTTGGCCTCATCCACGCCACGCAGACTTTCAGGCTCCGGAGAAGGAGGCCACATCCAAGCTGCCTGCTGGGAACAGGGGATACTCAAGGCGGCAGCTGGAAGCGGCGGGAGAGGGAGAGGGCCCGGCCAGCGCCGCGCCCCGGAGCCATATTTGATCCGGGAGGCCGGCGCCGAATCCGGGCCGCCATGTTGGGGCAGGGCGGGGTGACGCCCCGGGGAGCACTCTGGGGTGCCGCGGCCCCGCGGAGGGAGCAGTCCAGGGACAGCGCCGGCTCCAGAGCGCCGCAGAAGCGGGTTGTAGACTGCTTGATTTCAGATTTTGATTCTTTTAAACAGATACAAGACAGTGCTAATGCCGTAGTTTCCGTATGTGGCCTTCTCCCCGGGATTACCGTGTGTCCCTGTTGGGTCAGAGGGTCTCAAGGAGGAGCTTGTGTGTGTCAAGGTGCCACTTCAGGGCAGCAGCATCCATGTTTACTGGTTGCAGAAAAACCCCACTCACCTGAGACAGCATTTTAACGTTTTCCGGTTAACATGCACCTGAAAATGCTTTGCAAGGTCAGTGCTGCCCCTATGCAGGCTGAGGAGACCTGCCAGCCCTGCAGGCCCTACACATGGACCCACCACTACTTACCAGCTGCATAAACAATCCTCTCTCTCTCTCTGTGTCTCTCGGTGTTGTTCGAATAAGCAGTTAAAACGCTTTCCTGAGGTCTTCTGAGGACAGAGTAAATGCTGGCTCTGTTTACTGTAAGGAAAAGTAGTACAAAGCATATGAAATACGATAGTGCTGAATAGTGCAGATGCTGTGCAGGAACTGTAATCAAGTAAAATACTGTTTCTCTGCATTGCTTTTAGTTGTGTCATGAAAGTGACTTTAAATAACAATAATTTTACAGTTTTCCCAGGAGTGGTCAGAGAGATGGGAACTGGAATAAGGTAGTTATGTTTAAAGCATGCTAGTTAGGCAACATGTCAAATCCACGTTGGATTTTCCACTTCTTGGACACAAGTGACTTACTGGGAAAAAGTAAAAATACCCATTCATTTTCTGTTAGTTTCTTCACAATGTAATAAGAGAGCACAGCTACTTGCTCCACAATAAGTGGGTAGTAAAAGATCTCTCAACTATATTTTCCAGACATGTTATTTTGGTAATTTGTTCTTTCCTATATTTTTGAAGTATTCTTATGTATTACATATATTTCTAAGATAGAAGACAGTAAGCCATACCTATAGCAACAACTGCTGTTATTTTTAGGAG